ATCGTCCTGGCTCGGTAATGCATACCGACATACAAAAAGTGCAACAACAAATTCAAGCTACCTACATAATCACATGCTAAACCATGGATGCTTAATGACCTCCTCCACCGTTATCCGTTCCTCTGGTCGATAACGTATCATCTTGTCCAGTAAATCTATCAAAAGATCCTTCTCCTTCTCATCCATTCGTACATCAGGCACTTCTGTTATTGGGAGAGGGTGTAGCCCATCCTTGACATACACTGGTGCATCATATATACCCTCAGCTGCTAAAGATACACATTTGTGGATGGGGCAGGGTCTCTCCGGCTCTATCCATTCCTCTCCTTCAGTCTCCCACCAGGCATCAGGCGGCTTGCCCAAAGTATCGAAGATCTCGCCGAGTATCTCATCCCGATCACCCCGAGCAACGTTGTAAAAAGGTGATGACCACTGCGAATCTCATAGATAGCGCAGCCAAGTGCCCACACATCTGCCTCCATACCTGCATGACCATCGTAGAATGTTTCTGGTGATGTATAATTCATCTTTGTGCCCGGTTTGTAATTTTTTGGGGGAGAAATGACCTCGTATGACTGGCCGAAGTCAATGACAACAATATTTTCTTGAAGCAGGAGCGTCTGCCCAAAGAATCTAAGGTGGTCGACAGGTTCAACGAGCTCACGGGGTACATGCGGGCCACATGGATCTCCGCTAGTAGTTTTTACTTCATCCGTCGATGGAGCTCCTAGGTAGTGATAAACTTCAGCATCTGACCAGCCAAGAATAGGATCAATAACGCGAAATAAGACGTTCGATGTGGTCAGGTCTTGGGGACTATTAGCTGACCCACGAAATAAAAATAAAAAGGAGCAGGGAAGCTTACCTCCATGAACAAAACCTAATCGATGCATATCATATAATGCCATGGCCATCTGTCTGGCTACTTTCCTACCCAAGTCTCCGCGTAACTTTGTATGCCGATGAAACGTGTCCATCAATATGCTGTAGATGCTTGGACCAGCAAATGGATGAATAAGGAACCTGTGAAGGCCATTCGGGCCATCTACCACGAAACTATCATAAACCGGCCGGATAAAATCAGAGGTGGGGAGAGCGGAGTGAATCTTTTGAGGAATAGCAACGTCGCGAATGGCATCGTCTGTAGTATCTGTCTCTACTGATGCGCTAGCGCGTAGAGCCTTCAAAGCAACCAATATGTTTTTGTGCTGGTCGCGCGCTAGCCAGGTAGTAGACAAACCTCCGTAGCCAAGCTTGTGAATGATTCTATAGCGCCGTTGGGAGAATTCATCACCAATCATGATAGGGTGAAAGCCACCTGGGGTATAATAGTCGAGATTCTCATGCGACAGTAGGTCAGGGGGGTAGTAAAGGTCACCTTCGTTGAAGTAAGGAGCCTTGGGCGCGTCCGGCCAAAGAGATCCGTCCATTGTGAAGAGTGAAGCAGAGGAGGATGTTGATCAAGCAGAACGCTAGCGTTAAGGAAGCGAAAACAGCCGCTGACCTCTGCTGACAGATCTGATCTATTGATATAGGAAGTGCAAGGGAGGTGGTACAAAGGAGTTAGCCATATGTAGTCGTTTGATAGGTGACTTGTTCATTGTTGGCAGGACCCACAAACTGTCAATCTCCCGCAGCGTGTTTCTTTCGCATTGCTCCCTCGATCACGATACTGCGGCGGACTCACATGTCGCAGGACTATACCAAGTCAACGACTCGGCTGCCTCGTCCCGCTCTTCCACGCTCCAAGAACGGGTTCTGGAGCTCTCAGTATCCAGCAAAGATCAGGCTGCTCTGTTTCGGGATGGATGCGATGTAGAGAAGCCAGGGCGTTTCAAGCTCGTGGTTCTCTACGAATAACCGGTCACTGCCAAAGAACCCCACGTCAGTATAACCAATTACCACTTGCAATTGAATTTCTATGGGGCTTGGCTTACATTCCGTAGAAGAATGGGTGTCTTCGAATTTCGGAAGGGTGTAATCTATGGTACGGGTCTTTTGCTAATTAACCCGAGGGTGAAACCTTGTGTGACCATCAAGACGGTAGCTAGTCGAATGACCGGCGAATGAAACGTTGTCTTCTAGTACGCTTCGTCCGATTCGCCCTTTGTTCATTGCGCAGTTGTCAAAGGGCATCTATAGTAGCCAGTCACTTGAAGCTTTGGTAGGGAAAAACGGGGTTTTGCTTTACCTTTCCGATTACCATACTGTATAGCATCGAGCGAACTGGCCAATGATCGACTTCGAACGAATACTAGGGAAAAGTATGGGTTTATGTATACTGTATCTCAAATATAATATTGACATACTTTGTCTCCACGATGCTGCTCAGGGGACACGAAATACGGTGTTCTAACGAAAAAAAGAAAAGAAAAGAGCACAAGTACAACGGCTGCATTGAAGCGGGGTCACCGATTACTCACCCATAATCAATTATCAAGTCATATACAACTCGAGCACATTCTCACACCCCGACTCGGTCCATCATACACATACTCCACATCAGATGTAGAGGTTTTGGAGTTTTTCGGGGATGTAGCTTGCGGGATAGAGCATTTGGAAGTCGAGGACGAGGGAGGCGGGGATGTGAGTGAGAAAAAAGCAGAAATAGATGAGGTTGAGCGGACGCGAGGTTAGAGAAATTCGTGCCATGGCTGTTGGCAGGTTTTTTTTTTGGCGCCTAAGCTTTTACGACATGTGACGTATTGCGTCACGCGCGCCGCTTTTAGTCTTCTAATCGATTGTCGTTCTTACTCCACCGCCAACAGGACCAACGAAAACTGTAAGCTGCTGCTTTCTCTGAATATTATTGACATACTAAAGGTCATTTAGCTTCGAAAATATCGACGATTTTGTTCTGGCCACTGGCGGCGTCTTATACGCTGGCTTCACGCGACAAATTTCTCATTAAAAAGCTTGCAAATGGCTCAACATCTTCTCTCATCCCGTCTCGAACACCAATTCTACATCGAACCATCCACACTATCACTCCTCCGAACTCAATTAACTGAAGCAGAAGCAGAAGTATCATGTCTAGAGAAAGAAATAAACACCCGTAGATCCGTCAAAGCCCCCGTCTCCCACCTCATCCGTTGCAATAAATCCACTCATGCCAAACTCGCCTCTCTCAAAAACGCTCTCGCTCCCGTCCGGCGAGTCCCAACAGAAATCCTTTCAGTAATTTTCGAATTCGTGTGTCTTCCTCGCTCGATAGACATCCTCCTGGGAAAACGCACACTCGACCACATTCGCGGTCCTGCAGCCATCAGCAAAGTCTGCGCGGCGTGGCGGAACGTCGCGTACGCGACACCGCGGATCTGGTCACGCTTGACCGTGGATGTGAATATCGCGAAACACTCGGCTGCGCTGGGAAAGGGCGTGCAGTGGTTGACAGACTGGCTTTCGCGGAGTCAGGATGTTCCGTGGACGATTAGTCTTGTTTTTTGCTGTAATGCGAAGAGACCGAAGATTGAAGACAGGATGATACGCGCTCTCGCGCATATCCTATCCTTTTGCTGTAAGATCAAGAATCTCCACTTGACCGGGCACCTACCCTCCCTTCGACCGCTTTTCAGCTTGCCGCAGTCGTCGTTCCCTGTCCTGGAGAGTCTGACTCTGATTGTCGATGAAGGAGTCCTGCATGCCGATATCCTCAAAGGCTACTTTGCCAGTTCCTTTCCCGGGAGCGATAAAGTCCAAGCATTCCTAGACGCGCCGAACCTAAAAACTGTTGCTATCACAGAAGCCTTCACGTCCGCTACCTCTCTCCTCGATTTCTTCGCCCTTCCTGCTGAACAGCTGACCTCCCTCAAAATCGTTGATAAGAGAACACAACGCTCACGCGTTGATCTCGTTTTTCAGGATTTTCTATCCCGGTGTAAAGCGCTCACTATACTCCGATTCAGCTGTACCCGCATGGCGGACTCGTTCGATAATGAGAAACAGCTCGTGTTTCCTAGCTTGACTTCACTGGAGATTGATTTGCCGTGTTATCTCGACTGCACCATCTACAACGGCGATTTCTTCGACCTCATCACCGCGCCTTCCCTTAACGACCTCAAAATATGGATGTTTGACATCCAGAGTTTCACCACCAGCCTCCGCAGTTTCCAAGCCCGCTCTGCCTCCGCCTCCATATCCCCACCCCCATCCCCATCCCCATTCACGCTGTCGACCCTATACTTAGGCATGTTCATCCATGGCGCCACTCCCCCCCTCGAGTGTCTCCATGAATTCATCGCAGTCCTACATCTCTTTCCCCACATCAAATCTTTCCATCTCGCAGACCACTCCGCGAGATTCAACTGGGACACCCTGCTCCGCGAAATGACGCCTTATGAAGCACGCTCAGGCTCCTCAACCTCCGAGGTCACGCTGTTCCCGAAACTCACGGAGCTGACGCTGGAGTCGCGGACCCGCCGGGGCTTGTTCGTGATGGAGCATTGCACGGTGTATATTGCGGTGAAGAGTGGTGGTGGTGGTGATAATGTTTCTAAGAGTCATGGTACTAATGGCGACGAGGGAAATACGCAGAAGGTTACAACGAAGGACACAAAGAAGGCAGTAGCGGACTCTCGATCCCCAGAGGTAGTCAAGGCGTTTGGCGAGGAGGTTTCTGTTTTTTGTTTGTCCAAGATCGCGGCGGGCGCGAGGGTAGCGGTGTTGTATGATGGACATTGTTGTTGTTGATATCCCGTTTTTGGTACTTATCATAGCTTATTTCTCCGACTTATTATAGAATCCTCCGACCTCTGAGTTTGAAGTGTACTTAATGTATACTTAATGTGTAATGTGTATCATATGTACTGTTATGTACTTTTTTTTGGAAGGGAATTCAAGCGTTGGATTCCTTAGTACTTGATGGAAATATGTCGTGACTCGTAATGGGAATTTGCGTTCAAGAAACAAGATTTATTTATTTTTGTCATTGAAATACACATTCTATCGCTGTGCGATTCTCTTTTGAACTTTCAAAACTTTCCTCCCTGGAGCCCCATAAAGCCTCCTTAGCTCAGTGGTGGAGTGTTGCACTTGTATAAAGAATGTGGTTTGAGTCATATCGCGTTATATTATACAATGCGAAGGCCAGTCGTTCAATCCGGCTGGAGGCATGGAATAAAAGCAATGAAAAACTGAGAGGTTGAGTTTTTTTCTTTTATGAATCTCAAGTCCTCTTTCGGAAACCAATAGGTAGGTCAACGGTTGAGTTAACAAATCTCAGCGCCCAGCTGTAGTACAGTTCTCGATCCTTTATGTGTCTGATGAGACACGAGGTGTCTTAAGAGGTGCAGTAGGTGGGGAAACATGCAATAACTTTAACTTTTTAGGTGATGTGGTATGCATAGAATCAGATAATCTCTTGCGCTTTTTGGAAGGGGTTAATAGAAGTATGCAGAATAGCTGCAGTGATAGGCAATGAAACAGTGCCATCAACAAGAGTTTTAGATAGTCTCTAACTTGGTCTCTAACACTCATCATAGCAGAGTCATAGATGAAGGATATCTGGATCTCTACCAATTACAAGGCGCTTATGTATGAATATAGCCCTACAAAAGCTCTAGTAGTCAATGAGATTTAAACAAAAATCAATATCTTCCCAGGGAATGCTGCCATGCATCCTTATACTCCGTGCAATATAATGGTTCCTATGTAAACAAGGTTTCCTGATCGCCGGATGAACTAGCCAGGACTCTGCACAGGTATCACACCGCTGTATTTATTTATACACTTGGTTCACTATAGGTTCTTGAATGATCCCTTTTGGATTAACCGAAGACAATGATCCACTTCGTCGCAGCCGTCGTTTGGGTGTCTTGTTATCTTGAATACAGTCACTGTTGTGGAAATGACTGTTGACACAATGGACACTCCATGGTAGCCACCAATGGGTCTTAGACGCATCTATGAATTCAAAATTAAACAGTGAGTTTACAGTTACTCTAAGCCCTTAAAAATTCCCACCACTGGATGATTGGTAGACGTTGCTCTCAGGTATTAGCTCCCAATCATCTCCTGTATTTTCATGGAGTCGTGGACATACAGAGAAGTGAGCTGGTCAGAAAGCTATATTTCCACAATCACTCTCAGACACTTACCATCAGATACAGCCTCAATAAGTTCACATTTGTCATTTGCGGCAATATTTTTTGGAGCCTCAAAGAGAGGATAGCCTTGTTTGCGTGAGTATTTTACCCCGGAGGAGAAACCTTTCAATCTTAAATATTGAGATACTGCCATGTGTTAGGCTGTTTTGGTTCTGTTATCCCCCACTGTTTCCCTCCAACAATAGAGGTGGGCAGTGATGTGGGTCAGGAAAAGCAGAAGTACACAAGGTCAAGGGGACGGGAGCTTAGAGAAATTCGTGCCAATGACACCACTGGCATGGCTGCAGCAGCAGAGTTCAACGGAGCTCAGAACAAAGATATAGTAATAAAAGCCTTGTTATAACAAGGCAGTCCTTTGTATGAAAAATTGTTGTTATAACAGGTACCTAATTATTACGCTGTTGCTACGTAATTACATCATTGTGTCAACGCGTAAATTTCGGGCCCGCCTCCGCTTCCCTCCCCTCCCTCGCAAGCTCGGGGGGTCCCCCAAGCCGGGAAGTCGTCGGCGGGCACACTAAAGCCTTATTTACGCGGTATATGTATCCTGAGCGCCTGCGGCGCTCCCTAAACCCTAACAAAACCCTAACCCTAAACCCTAAGCCCTAACCCTAAACCCTAAACCCTAAACCCTAAACCCTAAACCCTAACCAAGCCCCGAACCCTAACAAGCCCTAAACACACTTTTGGCAATGCCAACGGTTACTCTGTTAGGGTTAGTTTAGCTAACCCTAACGAGAGTAACCTCGGCATTGCATAGTACTAGTTGAGCTCAATGAACTTGAGCGTGAAAGGTAGGTACAAGTAGGACTTAGTGGTACTTATAAGTAGAACACCTATTGTAGTTATCAGCACTGTAATTATTAGTATCGTTGTTAATATCAGCAAATTGTCATACAAAGGTTGGCCTTCATATAACAAGTACATAATTATTAAATCAGTGTCAGTAGGTGTTCAACGTTGTTAAAAGTTGGGCGCTTAAGCTTTTACCACATGATGTATTGCGTCACGTGCGCCGCTTTTGGTCTAAGTACTTCTAACATTCTTACTCCACCGCTATTAGGACCAACAAAAGGTGTAAGCTACTGCTTTCTCTGAATATCATTGACATACTCAAGGTCATTCAGCTTCGAAAATATCGACGATTGCGTTCTCACCACTGGCGGTGTCTTAAGACGCGACAAATTTCTCGAATCTCTTACAAAACTTGCAAATGGCCCAACATCTTCTCTCATCCTGTCTCGAACACCAATTCTACATTGAACCATCATCGCTGGAACTCCTCCGCACTTGATTAAGTGAAACAGAAGCTGAAGTATCTAGAGAAAGAAATAAACACCCGTAGATCCATCAAAGCTTCGATCTCTCATCTCATCCGTCGCAACAAAGCCAACCTCTCCAAACTCGCCTCGCTCAAAAACACCCTTGCTTCCATTCGGTGAGTCCCAACAGAAATCCTTTTGATGATCTTTGAATTCGCATGTCTTCCCTATTCGATAGACCTGCTACTGGACAAGTGCACGCTTGATCACATTCATAGTCCTGCTGTCATCAGTAAAGTCTGCGCAGCGTGGCGGAACGTGGGGTATGCGACGCCACGCATTTGGGCACACTTGACCGTGGATGTGAATATCGAGAAACATGCGGCTGCGTTGGGAAAGGGCATGCAGTGGTTGACAGACTGGCTTTTGCGGAGTCAGGATGTGCCGTGGACGATACATTTTGTGTTTGCCTGTACCAAAACGAAGAGAGCAAGATTTGAAGAAAGGATGATACCAGCGCTGGCGCATATCCTATCGTTTTGTTACAAGATCAAGAGTCTTCATTTGACTGGGCACCTACCTTCACTTCGTCCGCTTTTCAGCTTGCCCCAGGCGTCATTTCCCATCTTGGAGAGCTTGACACTGAAAGTGGAAGAAGGGGACCTCTATGCTGATATCCTCAAAGGCTACTTTCCCGGCTCGTTTCCCGGGAGTGATACAGTCCAAGCATTGATAGGCGCGCCTAAGCTACAAAGTGTTGCTATCACAGAATCCTTTACATCCGCTACCTCTCTTCTCGATTTCTTTGCTCTCCCCGCTGAACAGCTGACGTCCCTTGAGATCGCAGATAACAGAACACAATGTTCACGCATTGATCTTGTATTCCAGGAGTTTCTAAGCCGGTGTAAAGCTCTCACGAAACTCCAATTCAATTGCCTGCGCGTGGCGGACTCGTTCGATAAAGATAAACAGCTCTTGTTCCCTAGCTTGACTTCACTGGAGATTGACCTGCTGTGTTACCTTGACTGCACTGTAAACAACGGCGATTTCTTTGACCTCATCACCACGCCTTCCCTTGATGCCCTCAAAATATGGATATTCAACATCCGGAGTTTCACCACCAGCCTCCGTAGCTTCCACACCCGCTCTGCCTCTGCCTCCATATCCCCATCCCTATCCTCCTCTGTGTCCATGTTGTCGACCCTATACTTGGGCATATTCATCCATGCTATGAGCTCCCCCTCGTGTCTCCACCCAATGCAGGTCCAACATTTTAATTCCCCCAGTAGTTACTCTGGGGAATAATTTACTAAGGCCAGTAAGCTACTGTACTGCCAGTACTGGGGGAATAAAAATATCAACTTGGTAGTCAGCTGGTACGCATTTGATAAGGTCATGTGACTCGTCGATTGCAGATTTGGGTGGCTGCACGAAAATGGGTGGTTTACAGGCCAAATATGGATATTTCTGGGATGGTAGCTAGCCCAAAAAGACTATATATAATGTATTAATATTTGAGCACTACTCTGAGGTGGATTAGGCACCATAAGGGGATGGATTGCATCGAAAAATCTAGATGACGTTGGTCAAAGCTGGCTGAGCATTACCAAATTGGGTAATGCCATCAAAACAGTAAAAGTGGCCTAAAAGCCTGCTTGTACATGGATATTCTGCCCTGTAAGAGTGCAGATAGGATCTTTACATATATAAGAGGTCCCTGAAGCGAAATTACAGCGATAGCTGCGGTCAAAGCTGTTTTATTACCATATTTAGAATGCCAGCAAAGCGGCCTAAAAGCTTGTCTATGCTTGGGTATTCTACCTAATAGCAGTCTACACAGTGTTTATAGATGTACAGTAGGTACCTAAAGCAAAATTGAAGCAGGTATATGATGTAATAGTAGCACTGCTTCGATGATTGGGTCTGTGGCTGTGCTGTGAAAAATTGAAATAAAAGTAGGGATGTTCAATATACTAGTGGTGCAGGCATGGTCTCTACATAGTAGATATATACCTGAAGCAAAATTAGAGCATTCTATGGCGAGAATAAGCTGTAATTGCCAGCTCTAGGCCGGAGGAGGTCAAAGCTGTATGACCAAATAGGGAAATATATGCATTACATACAGGTGGTGTTGAGTCGAAGTTGGGCTCAGTAATGGCATGGCCTCTCAAGGTTTGAGGTCAGGAGTACATATCTGAGTAGTGTAGTATACTAGCTACACTCTCCAGGTGTTATATCTGGCAATATGTGGGCAGGAGGATGTACATGGAGTGATCAATGGTGAGTAACCATCAAAATTCGCATTTTTGAGGAATTAAATACTAATAATGAGTGTCTACGCGCAGGTAGGACCTCAAAGCTCGGTAGGTATACTCTCTTACATAGTATACACTTGATCCGTGTCCAAGAACCATTTATATGGCACCAGAGGCGATGGTATACACTGATCTTTATTGATTTTGCCTCAAAACTCGATTTTTTGAGGAATTAGCATGGAATATTGGGGCCTTGAGAGTAGCCAGAGAGCTAAAACGTCGTATATAGACTGCACTACATAGTAGTAGTCTTTGCCATATGCAAGAACAATTTATACAGCACCTGAAGCGACAGTATACCCTGATCTGTATGGAATGTGCCAAAAAATGCGATTTTGAGGAAATAAAACATGAATAGGGTGTGCTGTAGGTCTTGGCTTGAAGAATGAGTCTCCCAAATATCCTTTGACGAATTCCTTTATAACTCTCT